GGTTAATTAAAATCCTTGGATTTACTAAGAAAATAAATTACATAAGCATTATACAAATCTTATTTCAAATTTATGGAAAGATACATGTTTATAACATTATGAAAGCTGAGTTATTATTCAAAACTAAACCTACTTCAGAAAATTCTCAATACACAGTTTTATAGTTTTACATATATGTAACAATTATGAGTACAATCTCATAAAATTAACATAACCTTCTCATTTGTGGTGTCCAAAATCAAGATCCAAAAGATATTAAAATGACCTACTGACACCTACTAATTGGTTTTATAAACTGTATTAATCTATCACATGAGAAACTTGCAATATTTTCACATGATGCTTCTAAAATAGCATAATAATATACTAGTAAAGTAAAATGGAGAAAAGAATACTCTTTTTTCTAACAATTTCATAACATCATAACCTTCATAAGAAGAAAAAGGGTATTTTACATCAATAGGTAAAGATTACAATCCCTTTTTCACATTCAATTTTTAACACTATAATTAGATAAAATATTAACAGATGACTTCAAGAATAATATCAAAATCTAAAATCCCAACAATCACTGTAATTCGTTTTTAAATATTACTGCAAATGAATCCAAGGTACAACTCTGATAAACGCCCTAATTTCACCAAATGTGGCGATATGTGTTTTGCGCTGGTTTTTGGCGCGATTGCGTGTTGTGTGGCAACCATGTCGACGTTGAAAAATCTTTTGGTGGAGTAGTTTCTAATTGCTAGTTGGTTCGTGTCGCGTGTGTTTTTGAAATGGCCTATGTTGCGATGAAAGACGTGGTGGGAAGGTTTCAGCCGCGTATTTTAGATTGTGTGCAGAGTAAATTTAGTATGAAAAGGTACGATGTTGGAGTTGTTAACGAGTCTTTTGTTCACGGATGTATTTATGGGGATCGTAGTGTATTTTTGGAATTTCTGTGGGAGTCGGGACTTTTAAAACGGAGTTTGACGTGTCCGAAATGCGGAGCTGATATGGGAACTCGGACGAAAAATGGTGTTTCTGATAGACTTGTGTGGGTTTGCAGTAAAATTGTTGCTAATAAAGTATGTGGGTGTCAGCGGAGTTTAAGGTTTGGATCTTGGTTTTCGTGTAGCAAGTTAACGTTGGAGGAAGTTTTTATTGTTACTTTCGAAATTTTGAATCGTAGGAAGGCATGTGATATAGCAAAATCGTGGAAGTTTTCTTCACAGACGTTGTGTGACTGGCGAAATTTTATTAACGAATGTATTTTGGACTTTGTATGCTCTGTATCTGAGAAGATAGGGGGAAAGATATTTCTGCTTTTAAAAGAAGCTTTCATTATGGTAAGTGCATTTTATTTTATTGTTTTTATTTTGTAGAATGTTATATTCATTGTTTTTTGTATGAATTTCCGTTTTTATTGTTGTTTTTTGAATTGTCTGAAATTTATTTTTATTTATATTTTGATTTGTTTTTAGTGTAGATTGTGCAATTCGTAGATGTTTTTTAAAGTTGAAACAGAACGCTGTGTACATGGTATTCTTTGAAATTTATTGTTGTTATGTTAATTTATTAAAGCGAGGTGTGCGTAGTTCGTAGATTCGTTCGTTGCCTACAGTGTGCCATTCGTAGATGTTTTTTTAAGTTAAAACATGTCGCTGTGTACATGGATTCTTGTCAAATATTTTTGGTTAGAAACTTTACGTTTTTGCTATCTAAATTTTTTGTTTTTGTTTCGGATTTTTAGCTTAAATCGTGTGTTCAAAACGTAGTTTTTGCATGTGCGAAAACCGTGTTTTTGGAGACATTTTAGGCTTAAAGTTCGAAATGTAGACAAAAAATTTAGATAGTAATATGGCAGTAAAGTTTCTCGCCAAAAATATTTGGCGACTTGAGGGCGCATATCAGAGTAGTTCCGAATCCAACTAGTTTTTAAACTAACTTTTAACTAACTTTTTTCAGATCCTGATTTTTGACAACAAAACACAAATGAGAATGTTATGCACCAAAGATGTAATTTATTATGAAAACTAACATATTCTTCTCTGTTTACTATTATATAATTCGGAACTTAATTCCAATTTAATTTTTCGAATGTTTCAGGTGATACATAAAAAATATTAAGCAGAAAATTATTCGTTAAGTATAGACGAATTCATAAAAAATGTTTCTACAACTGAAATTGATCAGAAAACCAGAAATCACGACACATGTAGAATATATAAACATAAATTATAGAATAATTGATTAAGTTATTTACAATTTCAGACTGAAATTTCAAATTCAATAAGTAACAATCCCTACCTTTTAATATTCAAGTCTTACTTTTACATATTCAAATAAGTACTCTTAGCTCAGGCGGCAATCCAGTAAAATGGTAAGAGTCTTCGAACATTAGCTGTTAGTTCAGAACAGAATACAACTGTTTCTCGACCCTAAATAACTTTATAAACTGCTTAACAGATAATGCAAACGTATCCAGTATGCTTCGGAACATTCTTCTTTGAATTGAATTACGATGATGTATTCAATTTAAAAGATACATTGCTAAACATTCATCCGACGCCATTACTTTTCGATCGCAAGATTTTTAAACGGTTGCATATAAGCAGCCGAAAACCAGACGATCGCTACGCCGCACGAAATGGTTTCGATCGGTACTCGAGGATTGCAAATTGTCTCTCCGCACGAAAAACCCGTCATATGTGACGTCACTCTCGTATCGAGATCTCGTCGCACGCAAGGAGGATACGGCCCCTGGTCTATCATAATAAGCTGTAAGTCTACCATAATAAGGGGAGACCCTTTTTGGCGTTGGATCTCAGAACAATATCCAATAATTTTACTCTTATGTCGTGGAAACAGATATTCAAATTTTAGATTGCGGTGTATTATTAATATGTTAACTACATCTGTGATAGGGGCTACTAAACTCAGGACAGCCGATAGAAATTCTTACTATATAAATAATTAAAAAAAAAAGGTGTATGTTCTGAGTTACCTAAATTTAAAGGTAATTCAGAGCATATGTAATGCGTACAATTCAGAATAGCGCATATATAGAAGAAAGCTGAAATTATAATCGAGATCAAATAGCTGGTGTTTATGTATTAAAAAAAGGTGGGATGGCTTAAAATTTCATGCTTTCCTTCTAATTAAAAATATTTCTATTAAGAAGAAATCAACAATTTCTGACTACTACGGATTAATTTTTTTTTAAGCTTTGAATATAACAAGACAGAATTCGTTTTTGCTACATTTGCGATCTTCGTAAACATCGCAAATTGTAGCTGAATTGTCATCTTGCGGTCAGTAGGAATATCACGCAAGCCACCGAAAACACAAAAGAATATTTTCACACTGGCAGGCCTTCAGTATAAGTTGGCCTTGATTTGTCTTTTGACTTTATTTCTTGTTGGCAACGGGCTTGAAAAAATATTTTAAAACTTGCGACTGTACTCTGTGATCAAGTTTTAACTAAAATGTTTAAATTTTACAATGTTAAAGAGCTTAAGCCTTCCCCACATAGTGTTAAAGCACGCTTACCGCTGGTATATAAAAAATATTTAGATTCTCTTAAGTTGCCTCCTGCTCCTGTGCATTATATACCTGAGCCAGAGAAATATGTTCTTGATCCCAAAACCAAGCAAAAGTAAAAACATTGTTATTACTTACCTATTTTATTACTATATTTTAGGTTTCTGTTGGCTAATTTCTTTTTTGGGGACACTTAGTAATTGCATCTGTGACGGAATGTTTTTTATTTATTGTGCTCATTCTTTGCTATTTTTCAATCCTAGTCTTTTGTGGGACAATTTCTCTCAAATTATAATTACTCTTCTATCTTTTTGATGTGATATTTTATGATATAAAATTTCCTAAATGACAGTCACTAGACTAGTGTTATAAGAATATCCCTGTTATTATACCGCAGAAACAAAATTTTGAATTATATGAGGTAATAATTGTTAATGGAAAAAAAAATTATTATTAACAAGTTTTTCTACGAAAATTTAATCCCTTAACTAATTTTTTCTATTATATATGCACACTGATTCTAAAAATTAAAGTTATACTTTGTAATCTAAATATTTTGCTTTAGTTAGGAAAGCCGTAGATTGTTTTAAATTTTAATGATTATGCAGAAGTTTCCAGATATTTGATTACTAATGTGTAATAATTTTCATACAATTAATCAAGAACTGTGACGATATATTTAGGTGCATTTTAATATAAAAGAAAATTGAAATTGCATTTCACTGAAATTTCCTCATCATTTTTATAACTCTCTTTATGTAAGTTAAATTCTTAAAAAGATTTGGAAGAGACTTCCATATTTGTAAAATATATTTCATTTTGGCTATTTTGGATGAGAATTTAAGGAATTTATATGAGATCTTAAAAATAAATTTCTGTTGATATAAGACAGTGCATTTTATGACTTTAAAGAAGGATATATTTTATCATATTGCTAATGCTATAACTGCCATTGTGATGTCCTGAAAAAAAAAGGGGGGGAAATGCAGGGTAGAAAAGGAGAAAAGATAACTGATTGAAAATAAAGGAAAAAGAGAAAGGAAAGTGCCTGGTTGGAATTAATTTTTTTTGAATGAACAGTAATACATAATATGAAAGGTTATGAAGCATGTTGACTATTTATAATATAAGATCAGTATGGTTAATTGCTCTAGTGCAGACATATGACTGGAATGGTTTAAAAGAAAGAAAAAAAAAAAAAAAAAAAAACTTTGGTGGCTGATAGTAGGCATATGACTGTAAAGGGTTAATGTGCAGTCTCTCAGTACTGTAAGTAAATGTATATGCCCTCAGTAATCATTTAAAACTAGCTGTTATAAAAGAATAACTGTAAGGAAAGTCTTTAGCTAATAAAATAGAAGTAAACTTTAATAATTTGGGAAGACCTAGTTGTAAAAGATGTAGATTCTAAACACAGCTTCTGGTAAAATCCGAGAACTTAACAAAGTAGTAGAAGTCTACAAAGGCATAAAAAAAGGGAGTGTAATACTGATTGATTGTAAAATAAAAAGGCATTAGTTCCTTCAGAAGTCCGTAGCAAAGACTGGAGCAACTTTAGCGGGATCTCTGCCAAAATTCATGTTTCAATAGTAACCAGCGTTCGATGGTTGATGGGATAAAACGTAAGTAGCATTTCCAAAGTGTAGTTCCCAGTTAGACAGTTAAGGAAGAACTTGATTTAGAAATTTGCTAAATTAAGGTCTTTGGAATCTAATTCTTTCTCTCTTCCCTGCTGCTATGCCAACAAAAGAAAAGTAGTATAAGCAACATTACAAGGTCATGGCACTATCCCACTCCACAAATACATGTGGAGCTTCACTTACTATTTAGATCGGATAACAAGAATGTTAACCCCTCTCTACAACCATGCAAAGGCTGAAAGCATGTCATGGCTAATGTCAAGCGATGTTTTGTCTAGGACAGCGGTTCTCAACCTTTTGACATATGCGTACCATCTAGTCGAAAACTGAAAAACTTTAGTATCACCACTACATTTTACAATGATTATTTTTTCCATTTCTTTATAGAAACATTAATATATATATATATATTGTCATTTGTACAACCTATTGGCTATTTGTATTAAATATGCACACATAAAAAAATATTAGATTAAAAATTAGTTACCATTTTAATTATCAAAATCTAAGTTATAATACTTTAATTCTAAAATTTAGTGTGAAATTTGAGCCTGTTAAGGAAAGATCAGTTACTTTCTATCCGTTCTTATTTCACTTTAAACTAGGATCCACTTAATTTTGTTCTGTATTTCTTTTTAAAATAAAACGTGGAAGAAAATTCTCGTTCACACAAGTATGTTCTGCAAAAAGGAAAAAAAAAATAGCTTAATGTGAAACGCCTTTAAAATCCTTTTCGGGGTTTAGCCAAAAGTTAACAAATGTGTTATTTTGTAAATCTTCTGTTAGAGTTCGATGAGAGGAAATTTCTGTCATGTTTTTTTTTCCTTCACGAGATTTTTGAATTTAATAGTTAAAAATACTTTGTTTCTTTTCGTACCACCTATTTTTCTCTTGCATATCACCAGTGGTATGCATGCCACTGGTTCAGAATCTCTGGACTAGGGTTTATACAAAAATAGACTTTTTTGAAAAACTGGTTTTCAAATTCAGTATTTCCAAAAAACTGGTTTTAACCATTTTTCGAATTTTTGTCAAAAGAAAGGGGTAGATTATTTTACTTAATTTATATAAAATAACAAAAATCGCGATCAAAGTCAAAATATAAAAAAAATTAAGGATTACATCTACATATTACTTACACAAAATAGGAAAACTCAAACAAAAATTTCAAATAACATTTATACAGTACAAAGTCTGCAATCCGGACGTACATTATCCAGAATAATTTAAAATCTGGACCTCAAAACCACCATTCAATGTTTTTCTTGTAGTTTTTTTTTGCATGCGTGTTTGATCCCCCCCCCCTCCATGCATAATAAAACATCTGGAGAGTCCCGATTCTTAATTTCACTTCGGCACTAAATAAAATACAGTCAAAAGTCGTTAATTCGGAATGATCTATAATCCGGACCTCAAAGCTAAAAACTTTCTGCGCGTGCGCCGCGTTGACACATGCGCATAGGCGTTTATGCATGCGCGTAAGACCTTTTACAACCGCGTGTATGAGTGTGCGCAAGCGCAGAATACATTTTCGCGTGCGCGTTTTATGTATAACGGACGATATAAGCTAAAATTATCTAATTATCGATTTCAGTTAATGTTGGGACCGGAATCGCCGAAGTCCCGATGAGTCCGGATTAACGACTTTTGACTGTACCTTCTTATTGAAGAAATAATCATTTTAGCATAAATTTGTACGATCAGCAATTGGACTCCGTTGCTGCATATCTGCTTGGCACACATCTCAAACCGAAACATTCCACATAAATACATCGTTGATGTGATGCCAACCTGGCGAATCTTAATTTATTATATTTTCCTTTCAACACCGCATGTTTATCAAAACATGACAACTTGAGTAATGACGTATGTAGCGATGCCTAAACAATTTTTTTTATGTTAGTAATAAAGGAGTATGGTGACATTTCATATTGACATTACGCTTGGCGATGATTACAGATTTAAGTTAAATGCGCTAAAAAATGTTGACGAGGAAAAATTTACCAAAATTTTTTTTCCATATGCTAAAAATAGATTTTGCTGATGATACTCATAGATCGAAAGATTGCATTTAGGGCTATTTGAATCAAGAATAACTGATTTATTATTCACATAAACTCAGAACCAGTGCCAGGGCTCGTATGGCCGTACCCAGTCGCAGAATTTAGGACCCACAGAGATAGGCATGGAAGGTATCTAATGCTGGTCCTTAATAAGGCTTAAGAATATGTGGGAATTTATTTATTCAGAACTCTAATAAGCCTTAAGAATGTGCAAGAAATAGACATAACTATAATAAATAACTAACTGCAATACGAAGTCTGTAATCCGGACTAGTCGGGACTTTGGCGATTCCGGATTAGGGGTTTTTCCGGATTATAGATCATAGATTTAAATCTGGTAAGATGGCATGCAGAAATTATACAATTAAAAATATTAAACCGTAATTTATGAAATAGAGATCAATTATTATCTAAAGGGTTTCAAAATTTACAAAAAAAAAAAAGCTTAATATTTATTTGTTTACTTTATTAAACATTTCTTTCAATGTGAGTTGTTTGCTTTGTTTTTTGTGCTAAACGCGCATGTGTAAACGCATTACGTGCGATCCAAAGAGCATTACAAAAAATCTAAAATTTACAAAAAAAAAAAAAGCTTAATATTTATTTGTTTACTTTATTAAACATTTTGGGTAGAGTAGACTTTAAGGTATCCCTTGTATTATAGCGAAGTTGTTGTTTCATTTATCGCCAACCTGTTGTTTTATTTATGGTAGCCTGAGTGGTTGAATGCTATGGAAACCCTATTGTGACGTAATCGGGTGCATGATTCTGGGAAATTTTGAATCATGGGATGTTTTGTAAGCGTTTTTGTGGTGTGTGTTGGTTTGATTCTTTAGACAGTAGAATGGCCGAATGTAGTAAGATTAATTTGTAATTTGAAGTTTCTGTACGATTTGGAGCAAAAGGGGAAAAGAGCTTTAATTGACTGGTGTGTAAATGAAGGTTTACTTAGTAGCCATTATAAGTGTTTTGTATGTAGGAAGGATATGCGTCTAGTCGAACGTAAAAATCGTTTAGATGGATTTGAATGGGTTTGTAGGAAGAAAAGTTCAGATGGTCACTATGTGAAGTGTTCGATCAGAAAGAGTACCTGGTTTGAAAAAAGTCATTTGAGTATGATTGATATTTTGATTTTTACGTGGCTCTGGGTGTACGAAGCGAACTTCGAAAATCATGGTAAGTGAATATTTGCTTTTGGTAGTGCTTAAATATATAACATGTTTTTTTTTTTTTTCTTTTTTATGTTATTTTATTTTTTGGTTTAAAATGTATTTTATTGAGATTTTGCATTTTTTTTTACCCTATATTGTAGAATTTGGTGCTCCTTTGACTTTTTAAGTGTAAATATATCGATGTGTACGTGGACAAAGTAAAGGGAGTGCGCAATTCTGAGATTTTTTTAAAGTGAAAAT